TGAACTTTAAAACGCAAACGAAGCAGCATTTTGGGGTTTTTTTGTGGTGTGGGGTTTTTTTTTAGCACGTTTAAATCGGAAGGAGGTCCTCCATGTGTTTTCTGTAGCTAACATTGGGCATCAGGAGCTTTAGATGGGGGAAAAGAAAGGAAATATAGCAGTGACAAAGAGACTCTTTTGCTTTTTGGTTTTTTTTTTTATAAAAAGATAAGTGAAAACATTTATTTATAAATTTCTCACCCGGGACTATGCAATGCTATCGTAACACTTCAGAATACGCCGTCCTGTACACCTGCTTCTTTTTTTTCTCTCCAAAAATCCAGTTAAAACGTGATCATAGAGTGACCCACAAACAGCTTCAATATAAGCCTAACGTTCTTAACAACTTAATTAACATAATTAAAAAAAAGAAGGTATTTGCCATCTAGGAGGGAACAGGGAAAGCCACATTCAACCATCACGTACAGTACAGAGATAAATTCCTCTCAGGGGCGATCCGTTTATTTACCTTTTTTTTTGTTTTGTTTCACTTAACATTTGACAATTCGAGGAAACCACATCTTTCAGAATTAAAAAGAGAGGCTGCCAAGATGATAGGCAAAAATAAGGCTGGGAGTTCGAAAGGGGGGGGGGGGGGGAGAAGAGCGTGTTCCCTTTTCCCACGAGGCCCTCTCAAAAGTTTGGGAAAGTTAGCTTTCTGGACACAATGGCAGATTTTAGGGGAGCCCCATCACTGGAAAAAGGCACATTTGGGAGAGCTAACGGCTCGCCTATTCCATTCCGGGACGTGCCAGAAAATTCACACTGAAGGGCGAGAAACCATCCTGGACCCCATAGCATTTTTTTTGTGGGGGGGAACCCACATGAAACCTTCTGGGACTCACTTTTGAGGCTTGTCGTGAACTTTAAAACGCAAACGAAGCAGCATTTTGGGGTTTTTTTGTGGTGTGGGGTTTTTTTTTAGCACGTTTAAATCGGAAGGAGGTCCTCCATGTGTTTTCTGTAGCTAACATTGGGCATCAGGAGCTTTAGATGGGGGAAAAGAAAGTAAACATAGCAGTGACAAAGAGACTCTTTTGTTTTTTTGGTTTTTTTATAAAAAGATAAGTGAAAACATTTATTTATAAATTTCTCACCCGGGACTATGCAATGCTATCGTAACACTTCAGAATACGCCGTCCTGTACACCTGCTTCTTTTTTTTCTCTCCAAAAATCCAGTTAAAACGTGATCATAGAGTGACCCACAAACAGCTTCAATATAAGCCTAACGTTCTTAACAACTTAATTAACATAATTAAAAAAAAGAAGGTATTTGCCATCTAGGAGGGAACAGGGAAAGCCACATTCAACCATCACGTACAGTACAGAGATAAATTCCTCTCAGGGGCGATCCGTTTATTTACCTTTTTTTTTGTTTTGTTTCACTTAACATTTGACAATTCGAGGAAACCACATCTTTCAGAATTAAAAAGAGAGGCTGCCAAGATGATAGGCAAAAATAAGGCTCATTCATGGCCTCCCTCTCTTTTTAATTTAAAAAGAGAGAGAGGGAGGAAGTGAGGGTCCATTTTGGAACCCAAATTTCCCAGCCAAACAATAAGGAGGGAGGGGGAAAAAAAACCCCAATTTTCTTTCTCAAGATGGAAAGAGAGGGAGAAAGCATTCTTAAAAGGTTTGGAGGGGTTGCATAGAAGAAAAAAAAAAGAGAAGTATTTTAAATCCTATGCCTTCAAGGTTTGGAATCAAAAGCACCCTGGCGGAAAAGTGCAAGCTCCATGGGCATCGGTGGGGGTTACTTCAGAGTAAACCGGCTTCCAGGGTAGGAAGAAACTAATAAAGGCCGGGCAAAACAGGAGGCGGGGAGCCCTCCCTCTGTACCCACAAATTTATCCATTTTGAGCAATAAATCCCCCTCCTCCATGCTCAACACAGCCCAGCTGGGGAGGATCTTTAAGGAACTGGGGGTGAGGGAAAGACCCCCCCCCCAGTTTGTTAAAAGGGAAGAAAAGGCTGGAAGCAAAAAAGAAAAAGAAAAAGGATCACACTACAGTCCATTTCACTCCCCCCTCAACACAGTTTCACAGTCTCCAAGGGCAGATTTTTCTCATATT